TAGCACACTAAATACACTTTAAGAACTACTGGTTTTGAACAATGTATTAAAAATTACACAGAAAACACTAAGTGGAAATAAAACTTACCTACAATTTACTGTTGATTTCCCACCTTCAAATTCAGAATTTTTCCCCCATCTTTTAGGTAATTCTAATACCATAAGTCCTTTCATTCCTATAAGTGCTACATGATGTTGTGTCGGACTTAACAAGACTTGATAGATTTCAAACAGGGGTGGGTTTATGCAAAGCAATCTCTGGAAATGAAAACAAACTGGTCAAAATCACTAATACAACAATACTTTAGTTTTCTATAATTGCAGGATAACAAAACACTCTTGGGCCATTAACTGATGAAATATTTTTCATCATTTACGTTGAACACTTTGATACAAGATTACTACACAATTTTCCTCCTACTATTTCAGTCTCATCTGTCTACCATTTCTCACTTGCACTTTACATTTTAATCAGATTAAATTGTATTTCTGGAAAATTATGTTTTGCTCAACTGTTCTTCTTGAAATGCCCTCATTTTTTATTTTTAAAAGCTGCACAGGGGGCCGGCGCTGTGATATAAAGCCGCCGCCTGCAGTGCCAGTATCTCATATGGGCTCCAGTTCAAGTCCTGGCTGCTCCACTTCCAATCCATCACTCTGCTATGGCCTGGGAAAGTAGTTCAAGATGGCCCAAGTCCTTGGGCCCCTGCACACTCATGGAGACCCAGAAGCTGTTCCTGGCTCCTGGTTTTGGATCGGCACAGCTCCGGCCATTGCGGCCAGCTGAGGAGTGAACCAGAGGATGGAAGACCTCTCTGCCTCTCCTTCTCCCTTTGTGTAACTCTTTCAAATAAATAAATAAATCTTAAAAAAAAAAAAAAAAGCTGCATATTTGAGGCCAGTGCTGTGGCACAGAGGGTAAGGCTGCTGCCCGCAGTGCCAGCATCCCATATGGACGCTGGTTCAAGACCCAGCTGCTCCACTTTCGAGCCAGCTCTCTGCTACGGCCTGGGAAAGCAGTAGAAGATGGCCCAAGTGCTTGGGCCCCTATATCCGTGTGGGAGACCAGGAAAAAGCTCCTGGCTCCTGACTTCAGAATGGCACAGCTCCGGTCACTGTGGCCATCTGGGGAGTGGACCAGTGATGGAAGACCTCTCTCTCTCTGCCTCTGCTTTTCAAATAAATAAATCTTTAAAAAAAAAAAAAGCTATACATTTTTGGAGAGTTGGCTTCAAAGCACTTTCTCCCCAAGAAAGTATCCATGATCTGGTCAGGGATATATGTATCTACTTCTACAGCACACTCTGGATGATTCCATTCTAGTTCTTATCATCCTGCATTCTAATTCTCCATTTTACTTGCTCATTCTACACAATGAATCACTTGAGATCCATGCTTTTCTTCTCTGTAAACTTAGCGTAGTGTCTAGTATACTGATGACTCTACAAATGCTTGGTGAAAAGAGCAAATGAATCCAGAAGTATTAACAAGTGATAACTACTATATTTTATTAAACTACAAACAGTAAAGTAAGATAAAGAATGGCTTCGGGGCCACTGCTGTGGCACAGCGGGTTAAAGCCCTGGCCTGAAGCACCGGCATCCCCTATGGAAGTTGGTTCGAGTCCCAGCTGCTCCTCTTCCAATCCAGCTCTCTATGGCCTGGGAAAGCAGTAAGAAGATGGCCCAAGTCCTTTGGCCCCTGCACCCACGTGGGAGACCCGGAGGAGATGGCACAGCTCCGGCCATTGTGGCCAACTGGGGAGTGAACCAGCGGATGGAAGAACTCTCTGTCTCTACCTCTCTCTGTAACAGTTTCAAATAAATAAAAATAAATCTTAAAAAAAAAAAAAAAAGAATGGCTTCAAGAGCTTCTCCAACAGGCAAAATACTGCTTTATATGTGCAGAGTTAATATAAAACTATAAATATATTCAAGGGTTCTGATAAGCCATCTTTCTCAGCATCAAATGTCCTTGGGGCCAGCATTGTAGAGCAGCAGAATAAGCTTCCACCTGCAATGCTGGCATCCCATATGGGCACCATGTGGGTTCCAGACCATTGCTCCACTTCTGATCCAGCTCCCTGCTAATGTGCCTGGGAAAGCAGCTGAAGATGGTCCAGGTGCTTGGCCCCTGCATCTACTTGGAAGACCAGGAAGAAGCTCCTGGCTCCCGTCTGGCTCAGTCCCACCCATTGCAGCCATTTGGGGAGTAAACCAGTGGATGGAAGATCTCTTTCTACCTCTCTGTTAACTCTTTCAAATAAATAAAAATAAACCTTAAAAAAAAAAGTCCTTGAAAAACTCACGTCCACTTGTACTTCCTATTTCCTAAGACCACCTCAGATTCCCGTTTTCTTTTCTTTCCCTGTTCAGTGAAAGCCGTGAGACTGTCAATGTACTATTTACCTGGTACATGAAGAATCGCGTGAAGCCAAAATTCTTTTAGACAACTCTACTCTGAATGAGATTTCTACTTACTGCTGCAATGTCTACAAGCCTGCTTTGTTTTTTATTTGTCCGTCAGTGATTCTAATCAAAGCGTTTCTTCTCAAAACAATTCTGAGGCACTTCCGTGGTTCTTCTCTGCTTTCTCCTCATGCTCAACCCCCAACTTCTTCCTACCTGATTCCACAGCCTAACTCAAACTGAAGAGGCCGCTTTGCTTCTGCTTCAGATACAATTCAATCACATGAGTTCATCTATGAAAATCACTTTATTTAGATTTCTGTTGTTCCTTTTTTTTTTTTGAAGATTTATTTATTTATTTGAAAGTCAGAGTTACACAGAGAGGAGAGGCAGAGAGAGAGAGAGGTCTTCTATCCACTCCCCAATTGGCTGCAACAGCCGGAGCTGTGCCGATCTGAAGCCAGGAGCCAGGAGCTTCCTCCGGGTCTCCCATGCAGGTGCAGGGGCCCGAAGACTTGGGCCATCTTCCACTGCTTTCCTAGGCCATAGGCAGAGCGCTAGATCGGAAGTGGAGCAACCGTCGGGCGGCTTTACCCACTATGCAACAGTGCCAGCCCCATGTTGTTACTGGTTTTAAAATCACTACTTTTTTTTTTTTTTTTTTAATTTAAGGTTGTAACTCATGGTAAATGGCTTTTCCTCACCAATCTGTGAGGTTTTCGAGATTCTGGAGGACTGAGGGTTGTTCAGTCAACAATATGTATTGAGAGGGGGTGTGTTCCAGGCACTCAGTCAAGTACCTGCCATACCAAAATTAACAAGGCAGACACACACCCTGCCTTAGTGCTTACAGCCTAGAAAAGACAACAGTTATATATCAATTTTGAATGTGTCGAACGCTGCTAGAATACTGCGCACTGAAGATCTGATAGTTACTCTTAACTGAAATTTTATACTAAGTAGATTGTAGGCTGGACCTATTTTCAAAGCTGCAGAAGCAATGCTAGCATCTCATTAAAATCAAAGCACTTTGGACCAGCCTTATGGCCTAATGGGCTAAGCCACAACCTGCAATGCCGGCATCCCACACATGCAACAGTTGGAGACCCAGCTGCTCCACATCCAATCCACCTCCCTGCTAATGCTCCTGGGAAAGCAGCTGAAGATGTCCCAAGTATTTGGGCCCCTGCACCCACGTGGGAGATCAGGAAGAAGCCCCTGGCTCTGGCCTGGTCCAGCCCAGGTCGTTGGGGAGTGGTCACTTGGGGAGTGAACCAGGATGGACAATCTCTCTTTCTCCACCTCTAACTCTGCCATTCAAATAAACAAAATACATTTAAAAAAAAATCAAATCACTGCTCATCAACAAGAACTGGACAGCAGCACACAACAGATGTCAGACGTTGGAAAGGGTGCCCTAAGTTTTTTTTTAAATCTTTATGAAAGCAGATCATGTATTACAAATAAACATTTTCATACAGCAATGTCCAATCGCAGCAAGCGTCCACTTCCACACGCTGACAACTTATCAAAAACAAACCAAAGTCCCTCCAACTCTGCGGAGGGTAGGGGAAAGACTCCCACAGAGGCTTCCTCCCCCAGGGCAGGCACCTGCTCCCAAGGCGACCCCGGCCCCGCGCTCTCGCACCGTCCCGGCCCTCCCCTCGGCCGCACCCCACTCACCACCCCGCTCCAAGCGGTGTGTCCCCGAGAGGACGCCCGCTCCCGCGAGAACCAGCCCACACCGGCCCCCTTGCCGAGAGCCCGCGCGGGGGGCACCTCCGCGACGGCCTGGCCCTACCTGGTACTGGGAGAGGGAGGGCTCCTCGCCGCCGCCGCGGAGGCCCCGAAGGGCGCACGACTAAGAACGAGCTGCTTTCCCCGTCCCACAGGAAGAGATCTCCGCAGAGGCCGAAGACCAGGTTCCTCGTCAGCACCTGCGGCGGCGACGTGGGCAGTGATGACGACGTCTGTTTCTCGGCTTCGGCTGGGCTGTGATGTTTCAGTCCCTCCCGCAGCCGCAGGAACACGGCGTGGTTGGGAAGCCAGGTCTGCCACGGCTCACCGTCACCCACGACGCCATCGGCTGCCGCCATCTTGGCCCAACTGCTCGCCTCACTCGGGTTGCTCAGCCCGCCGCGGAGCGCAGCCAATCCGTGGCCAGCCGTCCACCGCTTCGTCCAATCATCGAGCAGGAAGCCCGGAAGCACGAGGCTAGCACGAGGAGGCGGGGCAAAAGGGGGATGCAGCCCATCAGCTAGGGGTATAGCCGAGGGAGAGCCAATGGCCAGTCCAGGATTTACCCCGCAGCCAGGAGGGGGCGGGATGAGGAAGTCAACAGTATAGAGCCTGTTAACAAAGTTTGGGAGCGCCTGGACGTCTAGCGCCCGTGCAAAAGACTGAGAGCCCTACGTATCTAATTGTTGGCTGGGATACTGCCAAGCATTCAGAACTTTCCTTCAAGACTTACCTCTTTCAGTCCGGGCTGGGTTGACCTCACGGCGTTAGCCCCCACCGCCCCATCCTTCGTCTCCGTGTTCTAGTACAACAATTCCCAGAACTCCCTGCGACCCACGTTCCAACCGGCGTCCAGAAACTTCAACTCCCAGGGTTCTGTGCGCGCGCTTAGGGGCGGGGCTCTTGGCGGCGACTCACGCGAGGAGGAGATGGCCGGGCCGGCGGGGTCTCCACGCCGCTCGCTTTATAAACTGGTGGGCTCGCCGCCGTGGAAAGAGGCTTTCAGAAAAGTGAGTGTGGGCCCTGGGCCGTGGTCACTGCCCTCATCCGGGCCTTCGCCCCAGCCCCGCTGTGGGAAGCGGGTGCCGCTGGAGGCGACTCTGGAACCCAGGGCTCCCGCCCGTAGGTTTAGATCTGGATTTTCGATTTGCCCGCTCCCGGAGTTTTTGGCCCCCTGGTTTGAGATTGGCCTGGGTGCTCTCAGTGCCAGGAAAACTTGTTCTCGGGCTCGGGCTTCTTTTAAATCTGATGTAGTAGCCGCACCTTCCGAGCCGCCACCGTGTGGTGTGGTTGGGGGGTGCGGGGGGTCCCCCGAGACACGCACCTGTCTGCGTGCGCCACGGGAGACAGAAGTGTTTCTGACCTGGAGAGGAGCAAACAGGCTTAGAGGAAGAGCTGCATCTGCTGGGTGCCAGCAGAATTCTACCCCGCTCAGTTCTAGCTGCTCCTGAACCCCGCCTGGTTCCTAGAAAGCAACAGTGTGCATCTCCAGGAATCGCTGAAGTAGCCGCACGCTGCTCCGGACGCCCGCGTTCAGTATCCCTGTGCCGGCTCCGGAAGCGCCACCTTGGGCAGCACCTCCTGGTGTGGACCTGGCCCAGCCCTGGCTGTGTCGGGCATGGCGGGGGGAGGGGATGAACCATTGGATGGGAGATGTCTCTGTCTCTCTGTAGCTCTGCCCTTTGATTTAATTAAATGTATAAATAAAGCGGTTGGTATATTCCAGGAACACAGTGTGATTCTAGACAGACTGTATAGCACTTGGCTATTGACATTTTGAGGGAGATAATTGTTTGCTGTGGCTTCTACTCACGAGAAGCCAATAGTCCTACAACTGGAGTTGTGGCAACCAAAAGTTGTCTGTAAGCATTGCCAAGTGTCCCCTGGGGGACAGAGTCACCTTGAGCTGGGAGACCCTGTTGCACAGGAAAGTCTTGACCACACCCGTCTATCCCAACCACCGCTAGAGTAGCAAGCATGTGGAAACAATATGAAGGGCTTATGATAGGACAGTGAATGCTGAGATGTTGGGCTCCCAACCGGTCAGGAAGCTGGCATGGAAGATTAAATATGAAATGTGGGAATTGCAAGGTGTCCGGCGCATAACAAATCTTCCCAGGCAGACGAATCAATTAATTTACAGGCTTTTATTGGGATCCCGCTCCCGGGCGAGGTTCCCCGGTCCCAACAGAGCAGGGGCCGGGGAAGTCCTGTGTGAGAGATTGGGAGTGCTCCTTTTATAGAAATAGGGCGTGGGCGTTGAAGGTTGAGGCGGGTCTGATCCTCATTGGTTGACCTTTAGGCACCCGTGGGGACCTTGACAAGGACTTGTCTTCCCCGGAAGTGCGGGTAGGGACTCTCCATTCCCGGAAGTGCAGGCCTTCCCTCCTTGCGGATCCCAAAGCTACCAGAAACGAATGTGGACACACCATTCCCCTCTCTGTGTGTGGATAAGGCCTGAGGGGACTATGCACTTGTAACACTAGTTACAGTTGTAGTTGAAAGTCTGTGTCTACACCTTTCCTTCCATGTTCTCCCAACTAATCTGAGTGTTTTTAATGAAACTGTTCCCCCACCCCCATCTCGCTGCTTTGTCCAAGGGCTGCCTGGAGAGAATGAGAAACAGCCGAGACAGGGTTCTGACCAGGTTCCGCCAGGCCGGCGGCGGCGAGCCGGGCCGAGCCCAGAATGCCCTGCTGGTGCAGGAGGTGATGGAAGAAGAGTGGAGCGCTCTGCAGGCAGGGGAGTGCTCCCCCGAGGCCTCGCCGCAGGTCTGTGTTGCGTCCTCTTTGTGTCTGCTTCCGTGAGCCCTCTAAACAGCACTGTTCTTCACGCCCCCAGCCAGGACCCCCAGCTTTCAACCCAGGCGCTTCTACCTGTAGCACCGGGCTCTTCCAGATCACTGTTCGCTAAATACCACAGCCCTTCTGCGTCGTGGCAGCAGGACCACTGCTGGCACCCCTGCCAAGGCAATGTCACTTCTTGCCTCTGCCCTTGGAAACTTTGATTCCGTAGGCATCGGCTAGGAGTCTCTCTCCGTAAAAAAGATGTCTGATTCTGATCTCAGCCAGAGCTGGGGGCCGGATGGGGACAGGGAACCATTTATAGTATATCAGGAAGAGCACCCACTGGATTAGAAGTCAGGAGTTCTGGAATTCCAAACCTGGTGTTGCTCTTCACTCTTCGCTCTGTCTCCTTGAGCTTCATTTTTTACGTTTCTAAAATGGAGAAGATAATGCTGGCAGCGTTAGGAAGACACTGTCAGAAAGCAAATGGGAAACCATCAAGGCACCCCAGAATAATGTGCGCTGTTCAGTGGCTTCTGTGAGCCACGGCATGCCGGGTGTTTGCTCTGTAATTAGCACGAGACTAGGAACTTCCCTGCGGTTCTCAGCCTTGGGAGAACATACATGCATTTCACTGCCACCATATCCTGTCTTCCCAAAATCGGGTGCCACGATTTTGACCATTTGCTGATAACGTCTTTCAGCATGACCACATCGCCCCATTGTCAGCGTACTTTGTAGGAGGACTGGACTGACTTTGGGGGCTAAATCGGGGCTCTTCAAGCTCGCCTCCGTGTCTGAGTCATTGCGGGACGTGGTGGCAGAGGGAGACCTCGGACCTCTGACAGCTCTATCTACTCTTGCAGTTGGGGTTGCCGATGGACCTGGCTGTGCTGGAGGAAATCCAACAGGAGCTGATCGACGAAGGTAACCCGGCGAGGAGTCCTTCCCACCTCTGTGCAGTTACCCTGCTGCTGACCGTCCCGCACCTCGGGATCAGTGCCAGACTCCCGTTCCTTTACCTTCGTGCTCAAGTGTGGAATCTCTGGTTTTACTGTGCAGCCTTGGCCATTTCCCAACAGTAAGGGGCTCCGGGCATTGTGCTGAGAGCTTCTGGGCCCGTGAAGCTGTTTTCTGTCTGTGTCTGCCCTACAGCGTCGCGTTAGAACAGAAAGCAGTGGCCTCGCACAGGTCACACAGCGGGAAGGAGGTAGACTGGGAAGCAGAATTGTTTGTGTTACGCCATTTCCCAAGGTTATTTGACTATCCTGCCTCTGCACTGATAGGTCACAGGTAAACCTGTCGGTTTACAGGCTGCAGTGTGTGGTCACAGAAGAGGGCAGTGTCCACCAAGGTGACGCCCACCCGAGAGAGCAGTCAGACCTGTGATTGGCGGGAAGGCGGAGCTTAGCCTTGCCCGCACGGTGAAGCCTCCTGGCTGCCTTTGCCTTGCAGAACTGTCCATCATCAGCGAGTACGAGAAGAGCTTGCAGTTCGATGAGAAGTGTCTCAGCGTCATGCTGGCTGAGTGGGAGGCAAACCCCCTCATCTGCCCTGTGTGTACAAAGTAAGAGTCTTTAAAACCTTTCCCCCACTGTTGGTGAGTGCGGTCTCTCCCCGGCGTTGGAAAGGTTTGGGGAGCCAGATCTGGTGGCCATGATGCTCTGGAATCCCCATTCTGCTTCTAGGTACAACCTGAGAATAACGGGCGGCGTGGTCGCGTGCCATTGTGGCCT